AACTACATGCGCGCTAATCAAGTGACGCTCAATAATACCAGCAGAGACGACCACGGTCAAGCAATCGTATTCGTTCCCGTGATGGAAGCCACATGCTGTACGGTCCTATTGTTTTTTTACCATAGGCCTCGCCGTAAGATGAACCGCCACGAGGAATTCGACATGGCGCCGTGAATTCCCACCCCCAGAAAAAAACAAAAAAATACCATGCCTCGCACGTCGCCTGACCCCATGTCGACCCGTCCTGGCTATGTCCGAATGCCCACGAGATTTGATGACCCGGATGCACGATAGCGTATCCCTGTCAATTTTCTCGTGTCTTTGTGTCACGTTTCTCTGCGTAGTGAGATATCCCAGGCACCAGGCGGATCATTTCATGAAGACCTCGAAGATGCAAGAGGGAATCAAGCAAGTCCATGAAACCAACATACGGCGCGGGCCCATGGGGATCAACAAGGGCATGACAAAACGGCACTCGGCGCTTCCTATAGTAGTACCCCACAGCTGGTCATCGTCAATCGGTACTGCACGCCACCGCCGAGAGACAGACTGGGGTCTCTCCAAGGTAGCGCTCGCCGATGTGCTCCTTGGTAGAGGAACCCTTTGCTTCCTTCGGTTTGGGGTGTTCTAGGCGGGCGGGGCCGCACGAAGCCCAACGGCTGAGCTGTGTCATTCCGTTTGGAAGTCAAATTGCACGCAGGATGTGTATCGTACCGGTTCGGTACTGATAATACAAGCGTATTGTACGACATCGGACCACCCGACGGGTTCAACTGTTGTCTCCCGAAGCAGTTATCGCACGACTTCGAAGTGGGTGTTCTATGAATGAATGGGAGGCTCAATCGTCCGAGAATGCTACTCTACAACAATTTTGTCCCGTCTAGTGGTATTCGGAGGGAGACCTGTGTTTATTAGCAGAGACACGGTAGGATACCGCTGAGGCATTGTGCCGTGCGGGACGTGTGGAACGGGGGAAGTCTCCCTCCGTAGGCCACAGAAAGTGAATCAAGGCAATTCGAAAGAAAAACAATAAATACGAAATTTGAGGGGTTTTGCGATTGGGCGACTCTACATCGCGATGATTGGAAGAGCCTGATATTAAGGAAAGGAAATATGGCGGTTGGCGGTCCGCGGCTCTGTATGAAGGACCTGATTGACACAGACATATTTTGTGGATGATGAAGGTATGAAGAGCATATATGGATACAACCTCCGCACGTGGCAAGGTTGGTACCGGCGAAAGATGGTAAGTCCGCCGAGACAGACATGGCGATCATTTCGTCCTGGTAGGGTAGGTGTACAGCATGTGGCATACGTTATGGCCGGAATGATGGATCAAGAACGTGTCAGAAGTAGTCGGAATAAACAGGTGGACAGGACGACCGTGAAGCATAAATGAGCTCTCTGTCGCTTCGTCCCACGACGCACGGTACACACGCAAGTCCCAGATGAAAAACAGAGATCTGACCTAGAAGTGAAGGGGTAATACCCCCCCAGTTTAAAACGACGTGGGATCTTGAATGGAACGGAGGTAATCGGAAACAATATATCCACACTACTGTAACACCACAGGCTACCGTTGAAGAGATGTGATAGGCAAATTTAAGGACACAGAACAATCATAATATTGGAATACTTTCAGCATAAATGAACACAAAATGAGGACGGCTCGAGAGCGGGTACCATGAGCCCTGGACACGTACGTGATTTGACGAAAAGTAAATATTGATATAACATGAACGTATCGAGTTTTCGGCCTGCAATAAGCGAGCATCCCGAAAGCGCAAAGGCTCCAATCAATTATGAAAAGGCATATTGAAATATTCATCCGAAACAGTGCCCAAGGGCGAAGTCAAAACAGTGTGCGTGTGAGAAGGTGCGCGGTGCTGTTGTCCAAGAGACGAAAATGAACATGCAAACAGCCACCGTTCCTGTCACATCTCAAAACGTAAAACGACCAATAGGTAAACCAACAAGAAGCAGACGGTAATGACGAAAAGAGGAAGGAAGCAGACGGTGGATACGATAAAGGTACCTCCCACCATAACATGAAGTAACCAACAGCGAAGTGACATCGAAAGTAGGTGCACAGAAGAGGCCACAAGCCGTCGTACATCCGGGAGGTACAGGATGGACCGAACGGCTCAGAAGGAACGCCAAAGGAGGAGCCCGCACGATGACAAGAAGCGACGTACTCCATGAAGGAAACCGAAAGGACAGGAATGCAGCAGGGCAAAGAAGATACGCACTGGCAATCAATGTAGAAGAAAGTTAAATCTAGGACAGGTTCTTGAGCGTCATTATACTGGTCGTTGATGTTCGTCGTCGTATTGCGCGTCCTCGTGCGCCCGGTGGTTCTCCTCCTCCTCGTCCTTCTCCTTCTCTCCTCCTCCTCCTCCTCCTCCTTTCCCCCTCCATGTTCCGAGTCATGTTGATGTTGTTCAGGGTCATTGGCGTCGTTGCCGTTGCCGTTGCCGTTGCCGTCAGCGTCAGCGTCGGCGTCGGCGAATGCAGAAGGGCGGGGGGTAGTGACCTTGCTTTTCTTGCCCTTGCCGTTGGGTTTTGGCGAAGGTTTGCGCTTGATCTTGTGGGATTTCGCGGTAGATAAAGCTCCGCGTCTAGTAGCATGGAACTGGAATGGTACTCGTTCATACCGGAATGGGACACAGACGACGTGGCTTGGCGAACGCGTTGATGGTGACGGCTTGCCGTAGGCCGTCGAATATGGGCGCTTGGTCTTGGCTCATGGACTGGCGACGATCCGAGAGCGCAAGGGCGCACCATGAATAAATGATGATCCATGGTTGGCAGACCCGAGTGGTGGGAAGACACGGGGAAAAATCGTCGGAGTAATTGTTGATGTTTCCGTTGGTGTGGATGACGGATCACTATACGGCCAGAAATTGTGCTCGCCGAGCAGGAGATAGAAGACATGAAAGCATGGATGGGCTAAAATGACTCAAACGATAGGAATGTAGGAAGCACACAACGTTTTTTATATTGTTTGTGAGTTGGGCAAGGTATCAAGCAATGCTCTATCCGTCACCCATGAACAATCGGTAGGTGTTGGAGACGTTTCCTTAGGGTTAGGGTTAGGGTTAGGAACAACACAGCAGATTTGTCTCTTCATACCGTAGTATATTTTCAAGAAAAATGACCGACGGTCGACGACGACGTTCTGCGAGTATTTAGTTAGGGCGATTCGTTCCGTGCTGTCCTCATGTCAAGACACAATATGGTATCCACGCAAGCTGTACCTCATGGCGGTGAAGTGGAGGTCCGGGCCCGTCGATGAAGCTGGGATAGGACTACGGCAGGCGACCCGACGGTTTTCAGGAGTGTAGCGCAGCTTCAGGGCAACTTGTCGAGGAAAACGCGACCTTTACTAACTTTGCCTTGGTTTCTTGTTGCCAGGTGGTACGTTTAGGCACTTTGGGATTTTGTTCGAGTTTGGTGACGCCTTTTAGAGCCCCTCAAACCAGAGTCGGTGTATGCCTGATGGTCCTAGTTTCGTCGCGTGGCTAGCATGCAAGGGGATGCTGTTTCCAACAAAACAACAGGAGTCAAGCTGTTCAGCTCTGCCCACCATCTCCTTAACTGAGAGGAAGTGAAGTATCAAGCGCACACGCACGCCTGAAGGACTTAACCACCCTCATTTTCGACCACGTGTGCAGAATGAGTGGAAAAATGACCTGGGAACAGGTATTGTACCAAGTATGTCTAGCATATGTACTTTTACTGCTGGTGTAGCGAGCGTTTCGCAATATCAAAACCAAAGGTTGCTACGTCAAACAGTCGCCATGTCCATCAGATCATAGCAGACCCGTTATTTATGCGGGTCTGCCAACATGCAACGTGCCAAACCCACCCACCCATATCCAACTTCGCTTGGACACGAACCGTATCCGAGCGAAATTGAAGACACAGCGACTGTTTGTGGTGACGTGTGCATACACGTTGAAGGGATCGTATGGGTTTTTTCAAGCACAAGACGCCAGCCCCTCCGGAATGGCAGGATTTCTTCGCTACGAAACGGCGTTCAACAAGCAGGGCATAATATCATTCATGATTTTTCGTGAGAGAGTCCTCCCACCCCAACTCCTTCCTGCACGAGATGTATGAGAACACAAGATGTACGAAAAAAAGCCAAAACCAAAGTAGGCGCCGCCTGACGCCAACGAGCAGCACATACATAAGATCGAGGAAGACCTTGCCATACCCCTGTCTTCCTACCCTGTAAAGCTATACAAGGGTTCTGAACGGCCACGGGGGCCCGCATCGCAAGCGAAAGTAATGGACGACGGTGAAAGGGAGATAATAAGAAGACAGCGAAGTTGGAAAGCTGGTGAGAATCTGTTCCCGTGCTCGGGTGAGACTGAAAAAGCGAAGCACAATGTAATGCATGCTGAGAACGAACGGGTACCTGTATGTGCAGGTGACGAAGGCTTGCCCACAGAAAGAGAATTTGTGCGGAGATAATAGTATTTACTGTCAGTAAACCAGATAACGGCTCGGTGCTGGAGGATCCGAAAAAAACATGCGGAAGAGGAAACAAAGCAACACCGCGAAGATTGACTGCAACATCTACGCCGAGCAGTGCCGTTAAAACCACCGGGAAGGCTAGCAGCCACGTACCTACCCGCGTTTTTGCAACGATCGATGCTCATGCTTGCACTACACTAATGCAATATACAACTTCGAGAAGAAAGAGATGACTCCGAGGAAACCTATGGAATAAGCAAGAGAGAAGAATCGAAACCCGACCTCCAACTCTGATCGAACGGGGTGTAGATTAAGGTGGCACTGGAGGTGGCAGGTTTCCTCTGACAAATACAGCTAATTTCGACGAAAAAAATTCAGACGGTTTCAAAAATAGAACTAACGGCACTGTGAAACGTGGTCCAACGAGAGTGGCGGAAACAGGCCGAATCGCACATAGTTAGAGCGTGATCACAGCTGGGCTGCTGAGGGCCCGTGGCGCCGTCTGCTCCAGCGTCATCATGGCGGACCCACAAGGTAAGGAGTCGACCATGGTACCCAGATAGACCCTTCCTGAAGTTTTGGTGCCATGTGGGTGGCTGTGAGTAGAGTTAGCACCACACGATTTTTGCATGCCGACCACGCTGGCTGCACCCGTTTTAGGGCTTACCATAGAGGCCACATTTCGGGCTTGCCACTTAGCAGACAGCACCGACACCCCAAGAGTGTTTGATGCCAACCGCTGTCCCATGCTGGAGCGAGGAATCGTCTGCGCGATTGCTGGCAATCACGTATAACCTCGAGTTGAGATCAAAATGTCGATTTTTGGTCTAAAAACCGGCCCGCGGCATGACAAGGGCCAGGTACGCATCAACTCCTCCGAACGGCGAGTGCAGGCTGCCGATCAATGCGGGTTTTTGCCACAGAGTATTGCAGTTGTATGCCCAGCTAATTCCGAAGGCAGCGGCGAATTTGGTTGTAAACAGCAGTTGCCCAGTACATTTTGGTAAAATTGAGGATGTTTTTGAGGCAGCCTTATCCCCCCGCCCCGCTGAAAGTACCCCGCCTTCAGGCAGAGCAGGCTCCATGGGAGCAGAACCTGGCCAAAAGTGTCCCGAGAGTGAAAGATAGCTGGGGTGGAGAGCTTTGAAATGAAGTACTACTATCGCGTCCGAGTAGGGTGCGCAGACGTTTAAGTTTTGATACCGTAAACCTAGAAATGACCCAACACCGCATTTTCCTTGGCGCGCAGGCACAGCAGGAAGCGACGCAACCGCTTTCCCTGCAGTCGCCATTGGTCCAGACATCGTGACCCTGTTGTGCACCCAACCAGTGCATTGCTGTTGGCGCCATCAGGAAGAAGTAGAGACGGCTCTTGGTCTAGAAAAATACGCTATTAGCGTTTTTTATCAGGGGCTAGGGGGGAGGGGTAGTGGGGCGACCAAGGGGAAAAGGATACAAGACCAACTGGAGAAGGCCGGTGTTTTCCGCAGCCAGGGGGACACCAAGCCGCACAGGGTTTGGTGGTTGGCTTTTAGGGGGAAGGACGCGACACGACCCAGGCTTGAGGACAGAGGAGAAGATAACTTGTGCGTGCCGGCTGGGAGCGGTGCTGAAGAACACCGTGGGACCCCTAGAGATACCAACCCGGCCGTTGGCGCAACGACAGCACAGGAGGGGGGGGGGAGTAGTACAGTAACGCCAGACGAACAAGAGGAACAAGAGCTTCCGGAGAAAACGAAACGGAGGTATGTTCTACGTCCAATTTTATTATGGTGCCTCTGTGGGGTTACCAGTGGGCGGTCGTCGTGCTCTGATGACTACAAAGCACTGCTGTGTAGGCCAATTACGCACTACCATGTACTCGTCACATGCCTTGATGTTCTGCTGTTGACTACTCCTTTGCGACTACCATTGTATTGCCGAGCACTATGGTGAGGGTGTTGGCTCATGCCACCTGAATATCCCTCATGCGTCGCCGCGACGCTGTCTATTTCCGTTGCTCATGTTGCCGCGGTCATTTTTTCTCTTGTTTCTGCTTCACGCCACCTTCGCCAGCGGGGTCTCCTGCGGCCACGGGCGTCGCCCCACCTACCTCCGAGTCGGCAGGAGATGCGGAAGGAAAGGCCGCCGCGCCGCCGAACGAGAAGGGTACTTGTCGCGCGGGAGCGGGCGCACGCGCCGCGGCCCCGCCGAAGGCAGCGGCACCAGGGCCGTCAAGCACAACACGTGGTAGACGGCGGCAGAGACAGTCTGCGCCGCCGGAGAAGGCGGCGGCGCCAGGGCCGTCAAGCGCAACACGTGGTGGACGGCGGCAGAGACAGTCTGCGCCGCCGGAGAAGGCGGCGGCGCCAGGGCCGTCAAGCGCAACACGTGGTGGACGGCGGCAGAGACAGTCTGCGCCGCCGGAGAAGGCCGCGGCGCCAGGGCCGTCAAGCGCAACACGCGGTCGACGGCAGCAGAGGCATACCAGGAAACCTGCCAGATTTGCGAACGCGCATGTGGGGTCCAGTGATGACAGCGAGGTTCCCGAGAGCAGGGAATCAGCTGACTCAAAAAGTAGTAGCGACGATGGGAGCGAGCCTTGAGCCTTGGTTGAGAGGAGCTTTTCTGCGATGGCTGGGGCTGTGGGAGAGTGGGCGGGTGGTTGGGTGCGTGGGCCGCCGGACGCGAAACGAGGGCAACGGCTGGCATGCGATGGAAGCTGTAGTCGGGGTGGGGTTTTTTCAACAATGAACGTAAGAGGGTGAGTGACGTCGTCCTTGTGTGTGGTGTTAGCAACGTGTCGTGTTTGAATATAATGTGAGCCATAGAATCGCTTTGTATTTATGTCATTTCTGACTTACGATGGTTTTATTGTTGCTGCCAAGCGGGGTGGCGGCGATTCGGGGGAGGCGCGGGTATAGTACAGAGGGAAACCACCTAAGGGTTCGAGGTTCGGCTAACTTTATTTTTCCCTTCTTTATGCACCCTCGCACGTGTCGTTATAGGGGGGGGGGGGGGGGGTGTACTCATAGTCGTGCATGCCGTAGTCGTTTGACCATTGACCTCGCATCCCTACAAAGCCGGGACGGAGCACGCCGGGTTCTCACCGGACCAGGCTCTCACATCACCAAGCGCGAAGCGCCGTGAGGTATTTGGCGAGTCGCATGAAGGGTGAGCTGCATCCTGCTAAGGGTGTTCGGCATCTTGTGCTTACTTCCTTGCGTACGGATGACAGCTACGTATGACTTAATTTATTTTCTGGTGCTTTCACTTCCAGAGACAGTTGTAAGCACTGTGTAACTGCCTCGAGGAAGCTTGACCATTTTAACACAACGTGGTGCGATCATCCCCCGTTGCGCGGAGTGAGGTTTCTCGACCCCGCACAACATGATCTACTCGACCACCATTATGGTTACCGCCAAAAAAAAAACCAGAGGTAAAAAAAAAAGACGGTAACCTGGTTGCCGAGTTCACGAAGTGAATTGGCTTGTTTTACAACGTCGTTGCCAAGCGACGAAAACCCAATCCCGATTGCAAACACCGAGTGGGGGGCTTGTTTTACAACGTCGTTGCCAAGCGACGAAAACCCAACCCCGATGACAAACACCGGGGGGGGCGGCATGTTTTACAACGTCGTTGCCAAGCGACGAAAACCCAGCCCCGATGGCAAACACCGGGGGGGGGGGGGGGGGGGT